GACAACCTGGAGGTTCAATCTTGTTGAGAGAAGTCACTCTGCGCTTAAACAAGAATACACGAGGCCAAAAGATTCCCTTAAAATTGAGGGTTCAGAAATTAGGAAGAACGTTCAATACCTTCTATCGAAAGCACGCACCCACACCTAAGGGTGATGCTTTAATATGCCAAGACAACTCCTTTTGGTTATATTAGACAATGCAATAGATGTTATGTCTTATGTGAATATTGTGTGTTGTACTCTACCTGTCTTGAGCCATTTTGGAACTACTTTTGTAATCAATTTAGAAAAGATTTAGCATCTCTATGTGAGGCTGCTAAACTAAGTCTAAATTGCTAGAACTTCTATGCAGCTTGTTTCTCATAAAAAAACTTATTTTGTGATAACCTACTATGTTCTCCTTTTTATTAATGAAACGGTCGTTGCTGCATTTTGCAACTATTATGCACAAGTTTTACCATTCATGAATGTTTCCTGTTCAACTTTATTTTTTCTGATTTTATGTTATTCCAGTTCATACTATTTGACACTTTCTTTGATTAAATGCTTAACCTGAAATTCTTTGTTCTCGGTGGTGTCAATGACCAATGTTCTTTAGTTATGGAAACTAATATTGACTTAATAACATAGCGGTTAAGTTAAATAATTTGTAATAAACTTTCACAATCTCTTTAATTCCCTTTTCCTAAAACTAATGCCATCAACTAATTAGTGACAAATAATTTGTAATAAACTTCTACAATCTAATTAATTTACTTTTTCCTAAAACTAATGTCATCTACTAATTAGTGAATAATTTTTATGAGCTCTGTACATGATTTGGCTTTTACTTAAGTGATGTATGAGATCGAGAAACAACTATGTATATTTAGAGGTAGTATAGTTGAAGATGTTTGTTGTTTAGATTTCACTCATGGATTTATATTGAAAAGTGAAATTGGATGCTTACATGACATTTATGAGACCAAATACAAAAGGGTGAAGGATTTTTATGTAATGCTAAACTCTTGGCTGTTTATTTATGCTTCATTTGCTAATTGGTTATTGATTGTTAGGCTGTGTATTTTAGGTTTCAGTTTTTTTAGTAATTTAATGTTGTACTTTTTAATTGCTATTTATTTATAATAATGTCTTATATAGAACATTACTTCAAAACATTAATGCAAAAATATAAAACATAATTATAATTATTAAGTTACAAATAAATAGATACGAATTTGGGCCGGCTGTGCTGTGCACAGCCGGAGTCAAACTAGTTTAGATATTAAATTAATGAAATCCTGATGAATTTTAGAGATCCTAATAACATTAGACAATAATGCGTTTTAAGTTCGAATATTTTCCTCTGAAAAAAAAAAGTTTGAAGGTAATTGCCTCATTCAAATCATGAAATTCAGCAATGGTTCCAATTGGGGCCGAGCCTGATTGCAAGTCATCGCATACGCTCGACATGAAAGACCTAACGTATGGGCTAGGTAACTCATTTGAGCGTTTGTGGGACTTGTACCTAATTAAAAAAAGAAAATAATGAGATAAAATAGACATATGTGTACTAAACACTATGTTTGTAACAAATATTTAAAGTTCACCTCTCCTTGAACTCAATAATTTCCGGTACATCAAATTTAGCAATCATCTTGGTTGCATCATAAGCATTGGCAATTCTCACATCCTATTAAATTATTCAATAGAATTAAGTTGTATATGAAATTTTAATTAATAACGTATTTAAATTAATTTTAAAAAAATATACCATCATTCATGGATTTCGCTCGGCACATTTGAAGTATTATAACTTTGTCCTCTCCTGCAGTGGACTGCTTCATTGCCTCGAGCAAAACATCCACATATTCTTCCCATAGGGTACAAAACAATTGGCAGCCACTAAGATAATAAAAATAGGAACATTACATAAAGATTTTTTAATATTTAGATAATTAAAATATATAGCAAAATTCGGAAATTTATACTTACCGAAAATCTTCTAGAAGAATGTCTATAAATCTCTTCTCTACCCCTCTCGACATAGCTTTTTGAACGCTATGAAAGAACACAACTCGGCCAATGACATCTACAATTCCATATATACGTATCTTTAGAAATAATTTAGTGCAAGAAAAGACAAAATAAATAAATTTTTAAAGTATATATATGTTACCTATTAGCCTTGAGGAGTCTATGCAAGATGGATCTGCTAGATCACCAAAATTCATGAAATTAAACATGAACCTTGGGTAATCTTCATCATATACCTCCTTAATTTTAGTTTCCTCGTTGAACGAAAGCTGCTCGTTTTTGGGAGTTGTTTTGAAGATATTGTTATCAGCTTCAACTAAGAAGTTCTTTATTCCATATGTCTTGCCTTCACCATTGATCAAGAGTCCAAAATTTTCAACCAATATGTCGGGTGCGGACGCATGGATTCTCTCGCCCTGAAAAAAAAATAAAAAAAATAATTAAAAATCATGTATTGGTGTATAAAAAAAATAATAACAGAATATATATCAAATAATTAATAAAGTAAAAATCATGATGTCTACCTTGACATCATGAAAGACAAATTCTAAACTTGAATCTTTTTTCTTGGGATAAAACCTTATTAATCTCAGAATAGCAGTTTTGGTTTTGTTTTTGGCAAGATAAGTTAGATTATCAAAATAGGAAGACATTTTTTAAATGAATTTTCTGTGGCTGAAAAACTGAAATGAGGGGGATAGTTGTTTAAGAAATGGAGTGATTAGAAATTGAAAAATGTTTTAGTATTTATAGGTTCTAATAACGTGTCTGTATCCATGATTTCAGCTCCAAAATAATTGTGATAGTCAATTTTATTTATTTACATTATATTATGATTAATTTGGTTATAAATATTATTAAATTGCATGAGTAAAAAACGATTTGTATTTCCATAATTTATGTGATAAATAATTCTGCCTTGGTCAAACTTATTTAATTAGATCAAATTAATGATTAATGAGAATCTCACTTTTATTATATTTGTATATTTTTTATATTTTATTTTTCAATTTTTCACATGATATCATTAATGTTTTTATTTTTCTATATTGCAGGAAGATGAAAACAGTTATGGAGCTGGAAATTGTATTTTTAAATTTATTTAATGGATTTTAATTATGAAATAATGTGTAATTTATTTTTTTGTATTTTAATTAATTAACGTAATTCATTTATATTTTGTTCAAAATTTATGCTTCAATTGTCGTGATTGCGCCCACTAAACCTGCCTACTAAAACTGAAATGAGACTTCAAATATATCTCATTTCAATATGTTAAGCAATTATAAGGGCTGATTTAAAAAGTTAGGCTAATCAATGTAGGATCAAATAAAAAGTGTAACCGATTAACAATTTATTAGGTAAAATTTATTAGGTATAATTTATTAGGTAAAATTTATTAGGTAAAATTTATTAGGTTTTATTAAATGATTAGCTAGCAATTATATATATATAGATATAGATATAGATAAGAACATCGATATCAGACATGTCTTAGTATCTCTAAAAACTTGGTTGTGCGTTTTAAAATTTTTCCAAATATTACTTATAATTATATTCTGGACTAGGGATAATTATATTCTAGACTATGGACGGTTGTGCGTGCACAAACAACATGCCAACTATTCTCTTTATAAAACGATTT